TCTCATTCATGCAGCATGCCTAAAGAAAATGTGCCTTCAAGTATTCCGAACAATTTCCGAATGACTGAGTCTGCCCCAAAAGTTAGGCTTAGGACAGGATGATTTTCCTCCCAATAACATACAATACAGAAAGCAAACTTCTAAGGCTTGGTCCACATATGTGCGGGTGGTGCCACTGTGGATCCACACAAAAATTCGTGCAGCTGCACCACCCGAACAGAGGAATGCAGACCCACGGGTGGGTGCCATTAATTCTAATGGCAGGCCACCCGCACTGGAAAACGCAACCATACTGGAATCCGAGGTTCCCGTGCTGGCTGCGTTTTCAGAAGAAGTGCAGGGACTTCTTTCCTGTGTGTCACAGGGCACGGGAGTCCATTCAAATGAATGGGCTCATGCCTGCACAAAACGTGGCCCGCGCGGTCGCATATATGTGAACCAGGGGTAAGGGTGCGTTCAGCTGCGAGAATCCCAGTGGGGGTTCCTGTGTTTAGCTGCAAATATGCAGCCCTATTGAAAGCAATTGGAGGCTGACACCTCTCACAGCTAATCACGCTCACTGGCATGTAATTGCTCATGCAGTGATCACATGCAAGTGATTGGTGTTATCCCAATTTGGCTACAAAAGTAGAAATACACTTTTAAACACACTTCATGCCTTTCATGGCTTTGTCTGTGGGATTTTTTGCCTTGTGATCAGGGGCAGACTGACCAATTTGAAACTCTGGCTCTGCCCGAGGGCCCGGGGTCAGTAGGGGGCCCCATGAGATGCCCCTGGTACCTTTTTTCATAGGATGTTTTGAGTTTGGGTAAGGACACAAGGGGCCCCATGATCCCTATTGCCCGGGGGCCCCATGAGTTGTCAGTCCACCCCTGCTTGTGATTACTTATGCCTTTGTATCATATTCTCAGGTAAATCTGTAGGGACATCTGGTGGACAATTTGAAATTAACATTGTGTATAGTTTTTCCTCTGTTTAGTCAAATTGCTTTCTGTTAATTACCAGCAATGTTTTTTGATTGGTGCTTCAAAACATATAGTGCAGATATAAGTTTTGCAATGTTACTGCTTTTTGCTGTTTGAAGCATGGCACATTTTTCCTTAATGTAAGGTGTTCCTAAAATATGCCTATTTTAGAAATGTGCTAGTGAGTATAGAAATAAGTCCCCCACCACACAAGGAAAAATAAATAGTAGTATAATTGCTCTTCATGCATTAAAATTTAATGACCAAAATCTGCAAACACATGTAAACGAATTCCTGTAGGAGTAATTAGTCTGGTTGTGTTTGTGCTGATCACAACATGAGGTTATATTAGCTTCTTGCCAGGTATGCCATTAAGCCAGCATAATCCTCTACTAAGAGCATTAGACTTCACCTCTGCATAAAATGGTTTCAAAATGTCTTATTCCCACTCTCATCGGGGTTCATCTCCCCCCTCTATTTAGTTTATGAACAATGAAATAGAAGTTGGAAGAAGCATCAGGCTCATGGTTTAGAACAGTGATGGTGAACCTTTAAGAGACCAAGTGCCCAAACTGCAACCCAAAACCCACTTATTTATCGCAAAGTGCCAACACTGCAATTACACCTGAATACTGAGGTTTTAGTTTAGAAAAAACAACCCATACATTAACATCTTTTGTCTTAAAAGAAAAAAACAGAGCTTCCACTGACCACCAGCAGAAGGGGGCAAAGTTCCACTGACCACCAGCACAAGTGGGCAAAGTTCCACTGACCATTAGCACAAGGGGGCAAAGTTCCACTGACCACCAGCACAAGGGGGCAAGTTCCACTGACCACTAGCACAAGGGGCAAAGTTCCACTGACCACCAGCACAAGGGGGCAAAGTTCCACTGACCACCAGCACAAGGGGCAAAGTTCCACTGACCACCAGCACAAGGGGGCAAAGTTCCACTGACCACCAGCACAAGGGGGCAAATTTCCACTGACCATAAGCACAAGTGGGCAAAGTTCCACTGACCATCAGCACAAGGGGGCAAAGTTCCACTGACCACCAGCACAAGGGGGCAAATTTCCACTGACCATAAGCACAAGTGGGCAAAGTTCCACTGACCATCAGCACAAGGGGGCAAAGTTCCACTGACCACCAGCACAAGGGGGCAAAGTTCCACTGACCATCAGCATAAGGGACAATGTTCCACTGACCACCAGCACAAGGGGGCAAAGTTCCACTGACTACCAGTACAAATGGACAAAGTTCCACTGACCACCAGCACAAAGGGGGCAAAGTTCCACTGACCACCAGCACAAAGGGGGAAGTTCCACTGACCACCAGCACAAGGGGGCAAAGTTCCACTGACCACCAGCACAAGAGGGCAAAGTTCCACTGACCACCAGCACAAGCTCAAATCTTGTGTTTAAAAAAAAAAAAAAAAAAGTATTAAAACTCACAGCCAGTCGAATATATATATCCTTGGCAGTGCATTGACCAGCCAATGCGAAAGCTCGGACAAGTTGCGGCTAGTGAGTCGCGGCTCATGACTTCATCGGCTGGCACCGCTACTCCTTTCCGAGCATGTGCATGGCCCCTGTGTGCACTGTTATCTGATGCTTGGCTGCTGGGGTGACTCAACTGTGTTCTGACATAGAGGGCTCTGAGTGCCCACTGTGGCACGTGTGCCATAGGTTTGCTACTTCTGGTTTAGAAGGTGAAGCTTTCAACCCCTTAACCAATAAAAAATAGGTATTGTTGCTATTTTGAGACCCCTCAAATACAAATATGGAAGATGCTCTGTTCAGGTACTCTGGTTTTATTAACAAGTCCTGAGCAAACAGCACAAAGGATTAAACTTAAAGAGGAACTTCACTCCTCTCATTTCTTTTTACATTTATCACTTACACTGTCTACTGGATTGTCCTAAAAAAACAGATTTAGATGCCCAGCAAATCCAGCATTGTGTACCAGGTCCTGTGCCACCATCTTCTCCTATGTCATCCGAGGGGCAGCTGTCTCTTCCAGGTTCCTGCAGCTGGCGCTGCACATATGCGCAGTGTTCTATAGACTACCCAGCGCATGCATAGTGTGGTAGAGTTTGCCCCAAAGAGTCTGGAGATGTGGGAATTGAGTACCCCAAGAGGCTGTGGTCAGCTTGAGCTATGTCATTCTCTACTAAGGGATTTCTATAAAAAAAAAAAAAAATCAAATTGTGTTACAGGAGGGTGGAAGGAGCAGGTATATATAAAGAAGAAAAGGAGACTGAAGGTCCGTTTTAATGCCTAGATCATTGCAATAATTAATATGGTAGTCACAATGTATGAAGTGTTACACATATTAGTGTAAATAGGATATGATCCTGTCATTATTTCCTTTCACTTGCTATTTTTTTTTTTTTTACCCTGATGTCTATAAAGAAAAGATAAGGTTGAAGCAGACCAGGTCTAAACTATTGAAAGTCTCCCCCACAAAAAAAAAAGTTTGCTTTCAAAGGTCCATCTTCCAGTGTTTCTGGGAGGTATGGGTGATATTATCATGTCTCACCGCTGCCTCCTGGGATAGCCAGGAGCTTGAAATCCTGTGATAACGCACTCCCTAGAGGACCCAGCATTTTCGGAAAGTCGTGCTTATGCACACTGATGTCACCTGGGTCTCCTGGAAGTGTGGAAAGCTAAAGCAGATATAAGTATTTTTTTCTTTTTTTTTTCATTGCATTTTGGAGGGGGGGGGCACATTTGATATCACACACTTTTCAACTTTCCATTTTAATGGAATGTTCACTTTAAGTATAGGCACATTATTTTCTAAGTCATTTATTACACACAAAACTAAAAAAAACTGTTTGTATGAACAAACTTCCTATATACTAGCCTATATAGTACTATGTGTGCAAAAAGATAAATAGATCAATAAATATACACGAGCAAAACATGTATTATAACAATCAATATCTAAACCGGTGCTGGTGCTTATATGGACCATGAATAAACAAAAGTGCTAGTGCATGTATAGACCATAAATAGACTAAACAATAGATAAATAAATAAATATGCAAATTGATGCCAAAGTTGCTACATCAAAGTAGCCAATAAGTATTAGACTAGTGCAAAGTTCATAGTGCAAGAAATTAAAGTGCAAAGTCTATGCGGATTCCTTCCAACAGGTGTCATGGACAAACAGCAGGTGTTACTCCACATGACTGCTCCACCATGAATCAATCAGCCTCTTACCAAAAGTTGTTGGCCTCTGTTAACCCAAGAGATCAACAACTTTTGGTAAGAGGCTGGTTGATTCATGGTGGAGCAGTCATGTGGAGTAACACTTACCTGCTGTTTGTTCTTGGCATATGTTGGAAGGAATTGTACTTACCTGCTGTTTCTCCTTGGCATATGTTGGAAGAAATGGAACTTACCTGCTGTTTGTCCTTGGCATACAGTGTGTTGGAAGGAATGGTACTTACCTGCTGTTTGTTCTTGGCATATGTTGGAAGGAATTGTATTTTCTGGTTAATAAAGGGGTTTAAACAGACATACTGTGAAAGAACCTCATGTACAGTATTTTGTGGTTAGCATACATAGTAATAATTAATGAAATAGGAGATCAGAATCCCATTTTAAAGCTTTATTGCTTTTTTCCTTGTCATACAGTATATGTTGCTGTGGCGTTAAAATCCATTGGAAATATTCTGGGCATTGTTGTATTTCAGCACCGTGTGATCATTATACTGCTCTTGTGTTCGTTTGTTAGCTCTTTCATTGTAGATTTGCAGAGAACATTATGTCAGTCGAAAGGAGATTATTGTTACTCTTACTCTTCAACAGTATATCACATTTCAGAGATCTAAGAACAGTTCCATGGGATTCATAAATGAGTATTTGACAATATCAAAGGACATGTCTAGACAATGTAAAATGATACCATTTTGTACCACCTGTTTAATTGTAAAGTCTGTGAATTAGCTCATTACTGTACATGCTGTTGTCATATATGTTTGTTCCTATTTCACACGTGTCATGTGTGTGATGTCGTTTATGTTTCTCAGTGTCTGAAGATCTCCCATCAGAGCCAGGATCCCTGTCCCAGGATCTATCATACAAGCCAACCCTGCTACTACCCCCCAAAAAATCTGCTGTTTTCCCTGTAGACCATGAGGACTGCCCAGTGAAACCGTTATCTCTCCTCAAGCAGCCCCCTGCCCTGCCTCCTAAACCTATTTCCAGAATTGCCAATCATATAGCAGGTAAGAAAGAGTAAATAAACATTGTATGACTCTTCCTTCTATGTTCTTTGGGTTTATCACTCAGTCATCTTACTCAAAATGCAAACACAACAAATCTCTTGACCTTGGGCCACTTCTTCATCTAATGAATGGTAAACCTTTTCTTCAGTGATCTTCCACAGAGAAGTATCCTATGACTTGGTGTATCAGTTTTAACACTCCCATTAGATCACATATCTAGGTGGATTTTAGTCTCTCCAAAGGTCATTCAATTCAAATAGAGGTATTTCAAGTATAGATTGAGCTTGGTTTAGATCATCATTGCCTTCTTATACATCTCTGTCAGAGACTCCAGAAGTAAGGTTCAATCTGCATTTCCCAGCTCTAGTACCCTCTAAAATGATATAAATATTAAAATAGTGAAAGAAATTCAAGTGATAGTGGCATCATCTTGTAAAAGCTACAGCAGGAATGTTCATTTACAGAAATCTAACCACCAGAACACTGAGAGGCATAAAGAATTACTAGGTGGCTTAAAGGGTATGTAAACCCTCTCAATGAACTTTACTTTTTTTCCCCTTTAGTCTGTAGAATATACCATTTAACAAGGCCAAAAAAATACCTGTTGATCTTGGCAGACATTTTGCAAGCTGATAACTTACTGTGTTCTCTGCCTGTGCTGACTGCACTAGTTTCAGCAGTGTACTAGTTAGCATTATTCTCAGAAATCTGTGAACTACAGAACAACTCCCCCTGTTATGGAGATTAGGAGACAGGAATGGTGCTGAGTTACAGCAATGGCCCTCTATAGATACAGTAGAGTGAGTAAGCATTGTTATCCTAGGATATATGTTACTGGCAGGATTATCAAGTGAAAAAAAAAAGAAAAAAATCATAAGAAAAACAAATATTACCACCACATCTAACGACTGATGAGCTAAAATATATTTTTTTTTACTTAGATACACTTTAACTCTCCACCATCTACCAGAAAAATAGAATTACCAATTTCGGTTAAACAAACCTTTTTAACATGTATATGTATTGTGTGGACAATGTAAAAATAGCTTTTCGTCAACTGCTGTTTTCATGTTCTTGTTTATAAAAGATGAATATCTCTAATTTATAGTATGCTGTTAAATCTTAAAGCATAGTCACATGTATCACGAAACAGTCTGTGAATATCTGTTCAACTCTCATTCAACTTCAAGTTTTCATTGTTTGCACTCTATGTACTGTTGTAACTTGTTTTAGAATTATTCCACATAGACCGTTTTTTCAGGGCACACTGTTTTATGCTCCAGAGGTTTAGTATGTTTTTGCTGTCCAAACTTTCATACATCTGAGGGTACTTCTCAGGTTCCCTCCACCCTAAGGCTTTACAGTCTGCAGATGGCTCCATACACAGGAATGTCCTCCTTGGCTAAACATTCGTGTTCAAGTGAATGGAGAGGGGAAGGGGGTAAGTGGCACAGACAGATGCTGCCAACGCTATTTATTGTTGGGGGAACAAAATCAATCAGTTGGCCTCCTACATAGGGCCCTTAGACATGAGAGTGTTGGCCTTGGATGCAAAAGACAGCCAAACCAGGCAGCTGCCATAGTTTAGTATTCTCTAACTTACTGACTATTAGACTCATTCTATTATCCTGTTATCTCATGCAGCAGCTATAGTTATAATGGGAAAATATGACTGTTAGTGAGTTATTCTTTTAAGCTGAAGGTGGAAAGTACATTTGATGAGGCCTTCACATTTTTATACGATTCTTCAAGTTTTGATGACAATGTCTACAATAGAATTAGCAGATTTTGTAGCTCAAATGGATGCAGAACCACAGCTGAAAATTAAATGTACCCTATTGTTTATTGATCCATGTTAAATGTATGGTTCTTCTTCTCTAGACTCCGGAGCACCTGTGAAACTGCCTTGTATGCCGGGGAAGATGTCTCCTCCACTACCTCCAAAGAAAGTTATGATATGCATGCCATTAGGAGCAGATTACCCCCACTCCTATAGCAATCAGAAAAGCTCTCAGCATCATCACACTATCCTGCCATCCCAGTTAGCTGTTCACCAGCACCAGCTTCAGTATGGGAGCCAGCACCTGTCAACTGGATCCAGCTCAGTGCCCATTCATCCATCATTACCCCCCGGATGTAGGGTAATAGAGGAATTGAACAAGACACTTGCCATGACCATGCAAAGGTTGGAAAGGTAAAAACCTGAAGTTTCATGTTATTTCTTGTATTTGACTTTAAGATAATAATCTGTATTGCAGCGGCACTATTGAATGTTGTATCTTTTACTTTGTTGTGTCAGCTCTGTGACTCAGTGACACCAATAAGAGTGCAAATGTTTTGCATTTGAAAATCAAGGGTATATTAAATCATAAGTCCATTCAGATCCACTGTGCACTCTTCCAAACTGTAAATTAATTTCAATGTCATGAGCATTTGTTTTGCAGCATATGATGATCTAGTTAAGTATGGACTGCTGAGAAAAACTACAACTGTATTTATTTAACCACTTCCAGTCCGGACACTTTTACCCCCCTTCCTGACCAGGGCAATTTTCATCTTTCAGCACTATCACACTTTGAATGACAATTGCACGGTCATGCAACACTGTACCCATATGACTTTTTTACCATTTTTTTTAGACAGATAAAACTTTATTTTGGTGGTATTTATTCACCGCTGGGATTTTAATTTTTTTTTTGCTATGTAAATGAAAATGTCCAAAAATTTTGAAAAAAGGTGTTTTTTTCCGTTATCTTTTTAGTAAAAAAAAATGAGCCAAATTAGTTTATAACCAAAAATTATAATTTTAAAAAAAAATTTTTACATTTTTTTTTTTTTTACATACTGTCACCCTAGCAGTACAGTGTCACCATGGTGACATTGTACTACTTTTGGGGGGTATGCTGTTACACAGTTAATATTTATGTTAATGTACATGAGAATTCATATAGTTTATTCTTTGTACCATTTCCTATGGATGTTTCTATAGTTAGTTATATGCTGCCATCCAGTGGCCTTATTTGTTTTTCATATTACCTCCCTGAGATCTATGACACAATTCCTTTGCATATGAAGCTCCTCCCTTCTTCTTGAGTACAGCACTTCCTGTGTCATGGATGCAGCTAACAGTCCACATGTAACAGGGACACATGTATTCTGCATAGTACGCTACAGAAAGTATCATCTTTTGACCGCATAATACTGGAAACCATTCAATCTGCTGTATCCTGTTGTCACATGTACAGAATAAAGCAACTTATGGATGAACACAGTATTGGTGAGTTCAGCTATCTGATAAGGATTACCCACAGTGATTATATCTGCTTATACAGGCTAGGCATAGAGGTCTCACAAGGGATAAATTGCTATCACAACAATCTGAGTTAGAATAGGGGGTGATGAAGATTTTTTTTTTTTTTTTTTTTTACACTGATTGCTTTTACACCCATATAGGATGTAAAAGCAATCATTTGTCTTTCTCTCTGTCTGCATTCTTGCAGCCATTGAGAACTACTGAGTGAGCTGTGATTGGTCACAGCTTGTCACATGGTACAAGGCTGTTGTGAATAGCCTTGTACCATGTGACCTCTGTGATCATTCACAGATTTCACACGTAGTAAGCAATGATGTCAGAAGTGACATCTTGCTTACTACTTTGCATGTGATCACTGATTGGCCAATCAGTGATCACATGATCAGGACCTCGTACAGAGGTCCCATCCAACGATTGGTGTTTCACTGTGTCCGGAGGATACAGCGGGCACTGGATCGCGGTGCTGCGCGCTCCCGGGGAGCACGCACAAGCAGGGTGCGTGAAGGCCGTTTATAAACAGCTACCCGACCCTGCAGTGCCACCGTCCGGCCGTTTACATACAACGGCCAGACGGGAGGTGGTTAAAGCACATCTGTGGCTTAGTATAAAATGTAATACAATAAAGAACAAAGGTAATGTAAGTAATAATGCTTTACTGTTTTCTGTGAATAAAGGTTTTAGCATATTCTAAACAGCCCATCGTAACATCACAGTCTTCTACTTCCTAACCTTCCTATAGCTGCCATTTATAAAAATAGGTGGATCTTAATGGTGTGGAAGGTAGGGTTTGTGTATGTAGGAGGGAAGATTAAAAGAGAAGTATGTTTTTTTTCCCCCAAATTATAATTTATTAAAGTATAATTTATTTAAGTATAAATTTATGTATTAAATATTAAATATATAAATTTATTTAAGTATAATTTATTATACTTACAGTTAGGTCCATATATATTTGGACACAGGCACAATGTTCATACTTTTGGCTCTGTATGCCACCAGAATAAATTAAAATGAAACAATCCACATTAATTTGAAGTGCAGACTTTCAGCTTTAATTCAAGGGGTTGAACATAAATTTCAAGTACAAGTTTTAGAACTGCAACCATTTTTATACACAGTCCCTCCATTTTCAGGGGCTCAAATGTAATTGGACAAATGAATATAGTAATAAATAAAATGTTCATTTTTAATATTTTGTTGGGAATCCTTTTCTGGCAATGACTGCCTGAAGTCATTGCCAGAAAAGCAGCTGGCTTAGGCTCTCAGCAGATCACTGACAGGCTGAGCCAGGTGCCGCTCCAGACTCTGGGGAGGTGGATCCCGATTTTAATGTCAGGATCCTTCCCCAGCTTGGACTGGCTGAGGGACGTCAGCCGACACCGGGCTGACTTGAATGACTTTGCTGCTTCTGCTGTGAACGTTTGGGGATAAAATGCCCCACAACACCTGCAGCTACGTAGGCCATTAAGGGCTTAAATCCTATGTACTGCATGTTACTAATGTGCAAATTCCTGACTCCCAATTACCAGGTCACAAGTTTGCATTAAAGAAAACAGTCACACACTTTATTATGGTGACACTTTATATTGCTAAAAACTGTAATTTGTTGCACTAGACATTTTAGTTTTTTTAGTGTAAAGCTCTATAACAGACAAAATGAATTTGTGTTGTGAATAATGGATATGTACATTATTGTAGAGGTGTATCCATTGGTCTGAACTACAGCCAGCACCTTGTATACCTGAAAATACCAATATATCAATATATAAAGACCTGATCTTTCCTGAGATCTGTGATGGAAAGCATGAAAAACGTGACTAAAGAAAGAGGAGAGACAAGTCCACTTCTAATTCCTACCCCTATATAAAAGAAGGTATCCCTTGCATCCCTAAGGAATGCATCTATGCATTTCATGGATATCTGCAGACTTTACTTGAAATCCAAGAGCAGCCATAGATTGGGGAGTTTTTGGAAAAATCCGTGCTTTAACATTTTCATTGCCAGAGCCCTTTTTTTTCATTTTGACCACACATACTGAAATGCCCAGTTGTCATGAAAACACACCTAAAACGCCCAAAACATGATTTATTTGCTGAAAGCAGAGGGCCTGTAGAATAAAATGATGGTAGTTGCATTTTCTATGTCGAACAATATTTGCCCTACACTATATAAAATGTGAATTTTCAGTAAAAATTTAAATCATATTAAGTTTTATGCACATAGACACAATATAACTTTTTTTGTAAAATATTAAACTATATGTCAACCCTCACCTTGTAAAACAACCCATACAGTTTAAAAGAATAATTAAAGGCAGCACTTTTGTTTATACATATATAAAAAAATTATAAATAAATTTTTCCCCTTTTTTTATTAGTGATCACATACCCTCTGTTCTCAGCTGCATAAAGAGGTGAGGGTGGAGAAACATCAGCACACTAATCTTGCCAGTGAATGGCTGTATGGGAAGGGGGGGTGGCTTGTTAGGACAAGTCTAATCGGTGAAAAAGAGCACATTGAGTTCCCAGCACAGCTAGAGAACTGCCCACAGTGAGCTCATATGCTTAGTGTGGTCAGTTTTTTTTTTTTTTTTTTTTTTAAGAAAGCAGATGGACTGGCAGAAACAACAGGGATTTCACACAAAGGAAGAAATACAAAGAGAACAAGATACATTTTCATACAAGTACATGGTACTGCAGGTACACATCAGGAATATGAAATGTTGGGTTTAAATACCCTTTAAACATAAGTAAGGTTGTGAAAAGTAAAAAAATTGTATGCACCTGAGAAATAGCAAAAAACATCAGTACCCAAAAGTCCCCATAGGCAAACTTTTAAAAGCCCAAATGCTCAATATTTTGCTCACCATGGGTCTGTTCAGATCCCTGTTATTTTCCCAAAGAGTACCTGTCATCACTGGTATATACTGTCACCATTTGTCAAAATGACAGCAGTTGTGAAATACCATTCCCTGGCCCACCTTTCCAGGCTGATCATACATTTCCAGTGATCTTCCACTGCTCTTTGCTTAGCAGGCATGAGTATGGCCGAGCAAGTGACCTCCTCCCATGTGACAGAGCTCAGTTCCAGCAGCAGTCCCCAGGAGTAAGTACTGTCCAGGGGCGGACTGACAACTCATGGGGCCTCTGGATAATAGGGGCTCATGGGGCCCCTGTGTCCTTGCCCACACTCAAATCACACCTAAAAGAAGCCTATGAAAGGTACCAGGAGCATTTCATGGGGCCCCCTACTGACCCTGGGCTCTCGGGCAGTGCCCGAGTGCCTGAATGGTCAGTCCACCCCTGGTACTGTCACATGACAGAGGGGAGTCACATCACTGCTCCTTCTAGACTCCAACACTGGGTATATTGGTGGCGCCTTGGAATGGTCAAAGCAGCTGGACAGGTCAGTATTGGGTTAAGGGGCAAAAAATGTGTCTATTTATATTTTTTTTCATAACTAGTCTGCTCTGTTTTTAAATAACTGGCACTGCAACTCACCAAAGCAATGATGATAAAGTGTGTTGCCAAAGCAACAAATTGGTGATTTACAGTTTTACATTCATACAATTTTCACTGTTTTGCAAAAAGGCACAATGTTTTAAAATGTACAAAAAAAGTGTTATTTATTAACACATTATCTAACTCTTTTAGATTTAACAGGAATTTTAGAAGTTATGTTGTGTTCGTGTGCACTATTTATAATGTTGGTGTATTTCTATTAAAATTATAATTTTGATAAACATTTGCGCAACTAATATGAGGTGTACAGAAGCAGTAGCAACATCTTTTATTTCTACAAGACAAGGCGTGGTGAAAGAAGTCTATAATGTCCTTTATGTTTTCTTTCTTTATTTTCAAAAGACTAAAGAGAAAACCTTT